TTATATTTTAAAAAATTTTGTGTATTATTGTAGTTGATTTATCACTATGATAAAATATTCTGTGCCCACTAAAATCTTGAGATTTAATATAAATTGGTGTAAGAAAACAAGGTTGTTACTTGCCCCTTTTTTGAGCTGTAGACTTTTATAATTTTTATAATAGATATTAATAATGAGTATGCTATTGGGTTTTGTACAATAGTGTTCTGAGATGTAGAGATTTTGCCCAAGGTTAAACTAAAATATATATTGAGGATATAAAACTTAGAGTTTCACTTTTATTTGCCTTCTTGTCCCAAAACTATAAAGTCATATAATTTTGGACTATAAGACTTTAAGAAAGCTATTTGCAGGGCTGGAGAGATGGCTCAGCCATTAAGAGCACTGGCTGCTCTTACAAAGGACCTGGGTTCAATTCCCAGCATCCACATGGTGGCTTATAACCATCCTAACTCCAGTTCCAGGGAATCTCACACCCTCTTCTGACCTCCTTGAGCATTGCAGGACACTGGTGCACTTATATACATGTAAGCAATACTCACACATAAAATAAAAATAATAAATAAAATATTTAAAAAAGACAGCTATTTACATGGGGAAGTGAGCTCCACTAAAGAATAGGATGTATTTAGTTATATCTAAAACGTAACCACTACCGGAAAGTTAACTTTGGAATCATAACAGGATGTAGCTTAAGCATTAAAAATTGTAAATAGTGAATTTAGCTAGCATTCATAGAGATAGAGGTATTAATATTGTGACTTTACAAGATATTAAAACATTTACTTAAATATTTTTTTAATGTATGTTCTGCCTTCATGTATGTAAGTGCCCCCATATCATGCAATGCCCATGGAGGCTAGAAGAGAGCATTGGATTTACAGACAGTTATGAGCTGCCATGGCTGTGCTGAGAATTGAACCCCAGTCCTCTGCAAAAGCAGCCAGTGCTCTTAATGGCTGAGCCACCTCTCCAGCCCCTTAATTCAACACTTTTTATGTGAATGCTTTCATTGGAAACTTTCTGTAATGTGCTGTGCTTCTAAGCCTTTTGAAAATTATATGACTGAGAGGTTGAAGAGATGGCTTAGCAGTTAAGAGTGCTGGCTCTTCTTGCAGAGGACCCAGGTTCAAATCCCAGTACCCACATGGTGGCTAACAGCCATCATAACTCCAGTTCAAGGGAATCCAATGCCCTCTTCTGACCTCCACAGGCATTGCACAGCACTGTTGGACATACATACATGCAAGCAATACACTTGTACACATAAAATAAAAAGTGAATAAAATATTTTAAAAATATAACTGATATAAACTTGTGAAAAAGAAAAAAGAAAAATATATAGCTAAAAAGCTGATCTTTTCTGACAATAACATGGCCTAGAAATGTAAATTAAAAAATTTTATGTGGGCCAGGTGTGATGGCACACACCTTTAATCCCAGCACTCCATAGGCAGAGAATCGCTATGATTTTGAGGCCATCCTGGTTTATATATGAAGTTTCAGGCCAGCCAGGGCTATACAGTGAGACCATGTCTTAAAAAAAAAATTAAACGGGAACTAGACAGGTGAATGTTTTTAACAATCTATAACAGAGGGGTGGGAATTGACATTTATTGAATGACAAAATCTTAAAGGCTTTGTATTCAACAGCTTTTTTTTTTTTTTTTGGTCTTTTTGAGACAGGGTCTCCCTGTAGCCACAGCTGGCCTGGAACTCACTATGTAGACCAGGCTGGCCTTGAACTCACAGAGATCCACCTGCCTCTGCCTCCCAAGTACTGGGACTACAGGTATGTGCCACCATGCCTGGCTACCAACAGCTCATTTTAACCTACATTATCAAATTGCTAACCAAGGAATGGTCTTCAGGTAGTAGTGGTGTAGCTGAGCCAGGATTGAACTGTCATGCACTTCTAGGACCAAACTTTTGTCTTCCATTTCTGGCTTCTGAAAGAATGCCATTTTTTCTCTTTTACTGTCTCTATGGGATCATATTTACAGATCCATTATATTTTCCCATCTGCAGCTGTGAACGTGTTATTAAAGATAGAGTCTCACTGTGTGATCTGAGCTGGCTGTGAACGTTAGATTTCCCTACCTGAGCCTCTTGAATTCTGAAATTACAAGTATGTTCTGTCCAGCCTTTGTCCTTTGTACCTGTCTGCAGCTGAGGATCTATGAAGATTTTGCTGCCTTCTTCCTCTGCCCTGTAGCAGTTCAGAGAAACCACCTGTCTTCAGTCACCACTTCTTCTCTTGGCTAAGGGAAGTCCCCTGTGAGCACCAAAGCCAGCCCCAACTCTGTTCCCTAACTTACGTGTTTGTTCATTTTCCTTCTGTAATCCTTCTGATGAAAGGCATGGCATCCTGGAAACGAAAGGTGAAACCATTATCCCTGGTTTGGACTAAGGGCAACTGAGGCAAAGGCGTAAAAAGGGAAGAAATAGTCCTTAGAGCAAATTGTTGTAAGCTTGGTTGAAATGAGTCATTTTAAAGCTCTGCTTATGGAAATGGCCTCAGTAGGCAAACCTGCTTTGGAAGCCAATGTAGTAGACACCGGCTTGACCGTCTCTAAACAGGAAGGTGATCTAATTTCAACAGACATGTTTTGCCCAGACTGTTGTGCTAGTCCTAATTTAGTATCGACCTAAGTGACATGTACAATATATTTTTAGTTGCCGGCTGAAGATGAAGTCTTACTCCAGAAATTAAGAGAAGAATCCAGAGCTGTCTTTCTACAGAGGAAAAGCAGAGAACTCTTAGATAATGAAGAACTACAGGTACGAAGGAAGTAAAAGGTTGCTTTAGATGTTGGCATTTCTTTCGTACTCAAGTCATGCAGGATTTTATTGTGCTTCACTGACTCATCACTACAGAGTGGTGGTGCTCACGAGCTGCTGAAGAAGGGATCTACCAGAATTGGCTGCTGAACGTGCCTGGGCCATGATTTCTAAGGATAGGGCTGTTGGCTTCATTTTGGTTTTTGTCTTAAGTCCCCAGATAATTTCTGATGTGCTGCCAAGGTTTGAGAAACAGCTATAGTACGATTGGACTGCAGAGATTCAAATTCTGGCTCTACTGCATGGCTTTTAGACAGAAGGCTTAGTATCTTGACACTTTAATCCTCATGTGTAGAGGTAGCTGTCTATATTACATAGTTACACGGGTTAAAGAAGCAATATATTTGAAAAGCTTAAAACTTTATTAGGCACAATAAATGTTAGCTATTTTTATTGTTATTAGTAATCAGAATAAAGGGACACAAGTTCATCTTAATATTAGCTCTGCTAGAAGACAGAAATGCATTTAAAGACACTTAAGATTTTGTTAACTTCTAATGTCTTCATTTCCATAATTCTCTGAAGAACTTATGGTTTTTGCTGGATAAACACCAGATACCACCTATGATTGGAGAGGAAGCAATGATCAATTATGAAAATTTTTTGAAGGTTGGTGAAAAGGCTGGACCAAAGTGCAAGTAAGAATAATATGACTTAAAGGAATATGTTGCATTAAACATTTTAAATGCCTCAGATGTCAATGGAAGTTGAAGTCAATAGTGTGACATTTGACTCACTACTTTAAGTGACTGAAATATAATGAAATTATTTAGAGTCGAGAAAAAGTTGGAGGCTGGGGAGGTGGCTTAGTCTATTGGATCCTCAGCAAAAAATGGGGCACAGCAGCACACATCTGTGATGCCCGGTATAGGGGGAAACAGAGCTGGACAGATCCCTAGAGCTCATTGGCCAGCCAGCTAGTCAAATCAGTGAGCTCTGGGTTTGATGAGGGAATCTGTCTCAAAAAAACAAAGTGAAGAGCAATCGAAGAAGACAGCTGCCCTCAACCTCTGCCTTCTACATGTACCCACATGCACATGTGCACACACCTAAACAGACACACATACATCACACATACACAAAAGAATGGTGGAATGGAAGTTATTAAGAGGAGTAATGCAAAGCCAGGTATGGTGGCGCATGCTTGTAATCCCAGCACTTGGGAGGCTGATGCAGGAGGATCACTGTAAGTTCAAGGGCAGCCTGGGTTCCATAGTGAGATCCTGTCTCAAATGAAAGAGAAAAAAAGGATATAAAGATGGACACAGTAGTATATATACCTTTAATCCCAGTACTCTGAAGACAGGCATTCAAGTTCATGAAATGTAAATTTTATAGTCAAGAGAATTTGTGGCTGTGAAGTTATTAAGAAAAACAGTATTTTCTGCATTTCATACAATATACCTTAATCATGTTTAGAACCCCTCTCCTATCTGCACCCCCCCACTGCCCACCCACTGAATTTCATGAATTCTGTTATATATATGTTAAGGCCTGTCAAGTCAAGTTTGTGTCCCCAGATGTCCCTTGGTGTGAGCTCATCCACTGAAGCCTGGTCAGCCTATCTAGCATCAGTTTCTTAACACCAGCTTTTCCTCACCTAGCGGTGATTACTTGTCAATAGTTCCTCAGCTACTGTTAGCTCCTCCTGCCCGTTTCCCCATATCTATGATGGTATTTTTCTGATTGAGTTTGCATGGGTCCTGTGCATCCTGTCCCATTGCCACAAGTTCCCAGAGGCCTAGAATCTTGTGTTTTCTTATGTTCACATGCCACCCCTGGCTCTTATAATTTTTCTGCCCTCTCTTCCACAGTGTTCTCTAAGCCATAGTGGGTGAGGTTTACTATAGGAGTCCTATCCAGGGACATGTACTCTGCAGTCTTATTTTCTATATTTTGGCCAGTTGTGGCCTGTGTGTTCATCACTGTCTGTGGCATGAGAAAACTTCACTGGTGAGAGTGGAGAGAGGCATCAGCATTCCTTCTACCCCCTGTTCCACCAGGTTCTGTGAGCTTTAGGTGCAGAGGTTCCATTGAAGATGTGTCACTTAGGGCCGGGCCTCTCATTTCTTAATGACTCATGTCTTCTTCATGTTTATAATTTATCGTAAATGTCACTGTGTTCCGAGGCATGGAATGCTCACTAGTCTTTTAAATTGCAAGAAATAAACATTGTCATTCTGAAATGTCAAAAAAAGAAAGAAAAGAAAAACAGTATTTTACTTGGGGGGCAGATCACAGCTTGAAGAAATGACTTTCTTTTTGTTAGCTGCCCAGTATACTTAGTTATGTTTAATGGGCT